CCACACCGGTTGCCTAAGTGTACAATTATAGAATTTTGGTTAGAATTTTACACAAGCAAACCGGGGAATCTCCAGACTGCTACAACAAAAGTACATGTTTGACACCACTGTTAATGTGCGTATTGGTGTGTATACATATTTAATTGCGTATAAATGTAGCTGTGTAGCTTGTGTTTGTGATTGCGCCGCAGCATACTTGACTACTTGTAATCGTCAGGTATGTGGGAATAAGCGATTGATGTCCGTGGGTTGGATAGCATTTTCCGGATATCTACGGGACAGTGCCTTTAGTTTGTTCGAGTCACATCCGCCACGTCGCATTGTTGATAAGCAGACATTTGTGGCTTTTTATAGGGAGAACGCTTTCCAGGCGAAAACCCACCACCTCCTGGAACACTGCCACCGAATAGTTTGCTAGGACCGGTTAAACCTGAACCGCTTATCTGGCACCACGACGTTGTTCGGTTTCAGGCATTATAACGCCCATATCTCAGGAACAAATCAGCCGCTTAATCGTTGTAGTTTTAAACTCGTTTTTGCACCCTGTTTTTGCTTTCTTTGCGATCGTTCTATTGTATCCGTGTTACAATTCTGCTGTTTTCCACATGAACATGGCTGTCTCGCTAAATACCATCCGCAAAGAAAGCAAAAACAGGGTGCAAAAACGAGTTTAAAACTGGGAACAACCGGGAAAATTGCCAGTAAGCGCCAAAGACGCTTTGGCCAATACCACTTTAATCGATCCAAGATATCTTGGATCAGAGGAAATTTGGCGATAGTCAAATTTCGTTTCAAGTGTTTATTTAAACACTGTTTTCCACGTTATTTCAGCTGAAAAGCTCGATCAGTATCGCACGCCAAAAAATCGAGTTACCGCATGGTACTCACAACTAGAAAGATACCCAGTCTACGAAAGCTTCGGTATGAAAAACGTTGTGAAAGGCTCGGCCTCTACACACTATCCTACCGCCGAGTGAGAATTGACCTTATTATGATCCATGGAATACTACACTTGAAGCACTTCCCCATACTGCGGCCAATATTTCACCTGCGGAAACCCTGTAACACCCGAGGACGCCGTTACAAACTCAGCGTCCCCTGCATGAACAAATTATCACACCAGCTTTGTATCGAACGAAAAATCGTAAATGTATGGAATACACTACCAGAAGGGTTAATAGAGGCCGATTCTGTGAAGTATTTTAAACCATGTATCGACGATTATTTCGGAAACCTGTGCTTTTGTGAAACGATGCATATATAAGATGCCAAAAGAAGACATCGTACGCCCGGAAATAATGACAGCAATACAAATTCCTAACTGACCAGACACAACCGCTGATGTTTCACAACTAAATGTTTTTCATTTTCTGTAATTCAAGTTCAAGTTCAGTTGGGACCGGAACGATAGGATAATTCCGTGAACGTTCCTTCTTTTGCGTAGCGTCAGATCGGGAATTGATAGGTCTGCTTGAGATATGGAAAATCCCATAACAAAGACCGCATCACACCCTGTCCAACCAAGTACTGCCCACATTTTCCTGCCCAACAGTCCCTACCAGACAGGTTTATGTGAAGTAAAAGAGTGAAGGGTAAACTATGAAAACAAGAGGAGGAATGTCAGCTAAATAATGAGAAGATCAAAGTGTGAGAAGAAATTTTAAAAAGGGAGGGGTAAGTTAAAGAGAAAATCCGGTTAGGAGAAGGGGAAGGTTTGGTACTGCCACCAAGAGCATCCAACTGACGCTCGAAACCCTCTACCGTAGACTCCCTAACCACGTGCTCCGGAAGCGAGTTTCAACGTTCAATAACGGCGCGACAGGCGAGTTTATGTCCTTACCCGGTCAGGACGCAGTTTGTGCAGCTTCAACGGGTGACCTCAGACACTAGGCAGCTTAGCGGGAATAAATAGCCAAGACAAGCCTAGACCGATCTTACCCGTTAGGATACGGTAAGTGAGGACCAAGTCTCCTCTGATTCTGCGGTAGTGCATTGAGTACATACCCAAGCTAAGCAAACGTTCGGGATACGTTTGCTCTCGTAATCCTTGCACTAACCTTGTACCCACTCGCAAAACCCTCTCCAGTTCCATTTTTTACTTTACAAGACAAGGTGGACAAGCCTGGATACAGTACTCTAGGTGGGGTCGCACAAAAGCTGAGAACAGCCTCACAAATATTGGCCGTTAGGACATCGAAAGAGCGACGAATGAACCACATCATACGGAACTCTCTACAAGCAGTCTTCTTCTAAGTGTCCCCAGAGTGACGCAATGAGGTATGGGTGATACCTAGATCAAACTGCTGAGTGACAACAGGGATTCCACTTCCACCAACTACATAGCGCGTGGAGGGAATAGCACCTGCAATACGAAGGACGGAATATTTTGCCTGATTTATAGGCATCAACCATAAGGATGACCAATCCCAGAGCTTATCCGAGACAATCTGAATTGCCTCAGAGCTCCCAGGGTTATCCACAATATTCCGGATCTTGAGGTCATCAGCAAACAATCACGACGGTACTTCAAGCTCCTGGGGTAGGTCATTGATATAAACTGCGAAAAGCACCACCCCCAGACCTCACTCTAGAATGGTCGGTCCGAGAGTATTGATACTCCGGCATTTGAACATTTGAGTCTAGTATGTCCGAAGATAACCAGGTTCCTGTGAAGGTTATTAAATGCGGTTGTTTCTTTGAAGCGAATTGAACCTCGTCAAGCTTTATTTTTATGCTACGATCATTGGCAGTTGTCACTTGTAGCCCACTCTTTAGTTTTTCTGCCTTGGTATGACGAGGATTGGTTTTCATCGAACTCTGCGCTTTTTGTACCGTGCGCAAATCCACCGTGTGGAGATTACCCTCATCATTTGCCAGACCTTTCCGTAGCTCTTCGACAGCGCTGTTCATTCGGATCCGATTTTCTTGAGAACGGTCTCGGAGTACATAAAAAGATCCCCCCTTTAAGACGTGAGGTCCGTCTATGAACCCGACGGCATTCATTTTCATCTTGGCTGATAAACTTGAGGGGTCGAGTTTTCGAGCAGCCTTCTTGTTTCCTGCCGAGACGAAAGGCAGAAATAATATTGGTGCCCATCTCGTTTTCGTCGAAAAGCCTGGAAACCATTCGTTCTAGAAAGTCCTGATCGTCCAGTATACCAGCAGCCGCAGTATCCTTATCTGTTTCAGGCGCGTTCATGATGATCAAGCATCGATCCCGAATTGTGCTGTTCTCACGAACTGGCGGCTTAGGAAGCGAGTTGTCTTTATTCAGCTTTTCAAATTGACGCACTTTGTCGTTGGGGCAAAGTCAGGGCAGGAATTCAACAAATTCCTGTACAGACACTGCCGGTGAAAAATATACGGAGCACACCACAAGTTAACGGGTTGTGTACCTGAGTGATATTAGATGTAGCTACACAGCGACACTTCTTCTTGCTGCTTTCATCCACTATTCAGTATTCAGTAACGAGCTGCTAACACGTCTAAATATCAGAGCATATTGTAGCCGTATGACGCTGGTTGCATTCTCTGTGCTTTTGTGGCCAGCCATTTACATAGATGAGAGGGGTACGCTACTCTTTATCTTCCGGAGGCTGTTTAAATATTTCTAGATTAGCTTGTTATTGTCACAAAGCTCTTTTGACAGGCACGGCTAGAACTTCACTTGCCATTGATCGATATAAGTCCATTTGTCGTCTCTACTAGTATCTTAGATTGTGTTCACGACAAATGTGGTGCAGTGATCACGCCGTATGGGATGGTTTCTCCCGTTGTTTGCCTACGGTTAAGTCCATAAATCTTGTTTTGTCATAGATTTTCGAGTGGTGCTCCGTATGAAGCAAGGCAGAAGAAGGAAGAAAAAGGCATAAACAGTACATTATCACATAGTACTGACGCTTCGCAGCCATGCGACCACCATCCGTTGTGCGTGGTCTGGATATACCGCAAGATCTTCGACAACCGACGCGGATTTGAACCAGTGAACTCCAGATTACAAAGCGAGTACATACTACTTTCTGCCACCGGCCAACAAGTAGGGTGTTCATTGCAACCCTTTGACCTCGTATGACGCGGATATTGCCAGATTGCTGCAGTTGTCAATATACTCCATCCGTACGCTACCAATGGAACCGTCATTCAAACCATGTGACTTCTTCAGTGCTCTGTTAGTATGTCCTCACTGTGATTGAACGCACCAATTCAATTGTTCCCGCGGATTCTCAGCGTAACTTACATAGTCATAAAGTATGATCACTTGATCTTTCTGCACTAGCTGGCTTATCTGTCATGGGTTTTCTGTCTGTAAGCACTAAATCAGGTACTGATGGTTTAGTTTCCACTCTGAATCGTCTGGACAAAATGCTATGGCTAAGGAGTGGAATGTTTGCAAAAAATGCTTGCAGTTTGGTCTTAAACTACTATTGGAGGAATGCCGAAACTACCAAATAGTAGAAAGATACACTGAACAGCACCCAGAGCAGTATTTATGAAAGACAAAATTACGAGTTGTTTTTGCTTCACTTGAGGTTTGTACTTGATTGCACAGCCGTCATTACCGGTGACACTGTCTCGGATACACGTAGCTTCAGTGTTGCTGCAGGCTCATGTGATCCAAGATCTTTCGTTACACCTAACTCATTGGTTAAGAAAGAGCTGCTTTTCTATCTATTGTTGGTTTCGACCACCATATCGAGTTCACTTTACACCTCTTCTCCTAGTGTATCGTACTCTTCATCGTGGTTGACAACCAGCTTAGCAGGTTTAAAAATACCAATGTGGCTTTTCAAGACTTCCGCGTCTGGTAACCGACATCTACGTGGAATAACTAATTCTGTTATGCGGACGCCTTTTGAGCTTTACCAACGAAGAGCCTAATCTTGAAACACATTTTTACGTTTATGCCGTTGGACGTTCGTTAAACACACACTTCACTGTCATTATTCTTTGCCTGTAGTAAACGTTGCTTTCCTATACCTTCTCTTTCCTTCGCTATGCAGCACCCCGATACGGGCGACTCACCACTTTTGGCAGTGTGCGCGGAGGGCCTCTGTGGTCCCATACGTCAACTGATCTCCCACCTCCCCCCGATTACGTTGCTCAACGCAAATCATTCGGCAACCACCCCTCTGAAACTGCTATTGGCTCGCGCGCACACCGAGTGTGGATGCCTTCAGCTATTGCTAAATCGCTTACCTCTCACAGCGCTTTTATTGCCAAAATGCCTGGTTGCTGCCAAAGACATTTGTGCAGCATCTCCTATACCGGTGGACCCCTTTGAATCTGCTGGTAATGATTCTTTTCTGATGATAGAGTACGAAAATTCAGTGCTACAACGTGAAAACTCAAGACATTGTCAGTACAGTAACTTCAACACCGCAATCATGCCGCTGGCTGTGCTGCTAGAACGCATCCGATCGACAGATCCCCGACGCATTCTAGGAGTTGTGGAATTGTGGATGAAGTCCAATTTGTTGTTGCTACTAGGTAATGTCTCCATTTGCATCTGCTTGAAAAGATTTGCATTAGAAAGCAAAATGAATGCTGCGGATCTCAGTCCTTCAGGGACAAGCGTTTATTTAGCATAGTCAACTCAGCGAAAATCACAGCATGTTTAACAAGCCAAACTCCTCCATCTAAGTTGTCCGTTCACTTCCATAACTAACGACCCTTCTGAGCCGATGAAGTTTATTCGTTGGTTTAGTTAAACAAACTGTGCGTAACACAAATGTCGGCCAACCTGTGTCCAGTGATTGAATATGTTACATCCATCTCTTATTGGTTGTCTGGCTCTATCGTTTTGTCCTTCCGTTCACTCTGATCTGACATTCCACCACATCCTCCTTTTTCGTATCCTTGGGATTCCATATTGCTAGCTACGCCGTACACTATGGCACTTCGCGTTGTCTTGGCTACATCTGCGATCTCATTGCTATACACCACAGGGTGCTCTGCTACCAATCCACATTGTTGTCGCCGGTGTCATCTCAACTGCACTCGATATCTTCTGAGCGTTTTCCGTCCAATATTTAATTCGTATGATCTTGCGCCGATCTTCGCAGTCATCACACCTTTCTTCCATCGCCCTTGACCATCGGGCACTGGTTGAACCCACACTTTCTCCCCTACTCAGCTCAGGTAGTTCCCGTGCACCGCGGTCTTAGTACAGTTTATGATTAATCAGTTGTATTCCCAGATTGTTCTGTAGTCTCTCATACTGTGTCAAAACTGGGTGCCAATGTGTGGCAGATACCGGCATCAGCGTTCTAGTCCTTCGGCTGTATATGCGCTACATTGGGCTAAAACCCATATCTGTTGATGGAGTGTTGCGATTCCCCAGTAGCGTGAGGTACGGGTCTTCGCCAGTAGCTCCAGTCTTTGATAACAGTAGCTTGGTCCGATTCACTGCTGGCTCCCCTTTTCCATTCGATTTGCTGTGATATGGGATGTTTTGCTGATGCACGATTTCCCACTTGGTTGCGAAGGTCTGGAAAGCAGCGCTGGTTTACTGGGGATCAATGTTGGAGACCAGTTCCTCCGGTATCCCGTGCTGCGCGAACTGACATCTGAGCTTGTTGATTACTGCCTTTGTGGTCGTAGTGGTGAGTGAATCAATTTCGAAGTACTCACTATAGTAATCCCGTTGTCAGCGAATGAATCCACCACCACCCTCAACGTTCGATCAGGGACATCATGTAGCATCATTGGTTCCCTCGTCTGCCGGATTTCGTGTAAACGACATACCTCACAGTTCAACACATGGTCCCTTAGTTGAGTCTTCATTCCTAGCCAGAACATCAACACTCTTAGTGGTGTAGTCGGCACCCAGTTGAGCGCGATGAACTTTTTTCAGCACCTCTTCTCGGAGCGCTGACAAGGTCAAAATACAGCTTCCCTAGAAAAGCAAACCATCATAGACGGAGACTTCATTCCGAAATTAAAGTAGGATGTCAGTTCCCTCAGTTATCCTTTAAAAACAACCTCTCACAGTGTTTAAAACGCGGCATCTGGCTCTGCGTGGTGTCTCAATTCTTTGAGACGATGTTCCGCTATTGTCATTTGTTGTACTAAGTTTACCGCTTCGATCACTTCCTGATGAGGCTCGACTACCGGCAGATGAGCTCTTGACAGCGTATCCGCGATGAACATCTGTGCACCAGGCGTTTACACAATATCAACGTCGTACTTTCGAAGTCAGATATGGACACGCCGAATACGATGAGGAACGTTGCATAGCAGTTTTCTGGCTATCGACACAGTTATCTTTCTTCCGAAGTATAGTTGTTGAAATGCTCCAGGGCATAGAGTACCGCGAGCATCTTCTCTATCACTGTGCTCAACTGCTGAAATCTAATGGTTTCACATTCTGTAGGAGAATAGCAGATATGCTGTTCTGGCTCCTGTCACACTGTATCTCCAAACGTTACACTGGATAGTAACATCCGAGTACTGGCGCGTTGCTGTTAAGGTGTTGATGGTCGCAAATGTGGTTTCCTGTTCTTTTCTCCAACGACGCTTTACACCTTTGTGAATTAGCTTCCGCATCGGCGTCATAATATAAGCGAATCTTCGTATGAAAGGGCTCAACTGATTCACCATACCTTTTAAACGACGGATTCCTTCATGTCCTTAGGAGCGGCACTCTTCTTATTGCCATAAGTTTTCCTGGATTGACCATGACTTCTTTGGTCTTTAGCACATGCTCGTGGAAGTTTAGGTCGTCTTTCCGAAGTTAAGTATTCTTACACTTAAACTTAAGGTTCTTCTGCACACCACGTTGTAAGAATTGGTGAAGATTAACGTCATGCTCTGCTTCCGTCGAGCCGTAGATCAAGACACTGTCTCCCACACATTTTACACCATCTAAATTGTCTACTGTTTGCACGAACCGTTTAAAAGTTCACTAGAAACCTATAAAACAAACGTTAATCGCAGCGAACGACACTCCCCGAATGGTGTTGTAAAGGTAGTAAGGAAACTGGACTCCTCGAATAGAACCACGTTGCAGAATGCGGAGGGGAGAACAACCTTCCTGAAATACTTAGCTTTGACCAAACGCGGCGAAATCTTCTGGGGTCGGTAGCCCATAATGCTCTTTACGCAAGGCCTCATACAACGATTTCGGGTCAATACGCACGCGCAGTTCGACCCTATTCTTCGTATAGATGGCGACCTGACTAACCCAGTCGGTAGACGCATCAACTCTGCTTGACATAAGCTCCCAAAAAGCATGCTTTCATAAGCCAATCAGTATCATGCATACTCAGTAAATTGGGAATACACCCAAGATTCTGGGCTGTTAAACGAGTTGCGGAGGAGACAGGATTTCTCCATATTGTTCTTGTTTAAGACAGGTTTCTTTTCTGCACTTCTGTTCAGTATCTTGTGGTATTTCATAACTTGTTGTATGACACAGTCATCGCAATTCTTTGTAACCACATTACCCACAGTTCACCAAATAATCAATAAAAGCAGCCGATAACCCTGTGCAACAAAAAGTTATTTTCTATAACAAAAATGCCAATGCCCCTAACGTATAGAATATCCTCCACTGATCTTAGAAATGCATTTCGATGTTACCTAGGACGTCAGGTTACATGGCTATAAGCAAATGATTATTTTCGGTAATGTAAAGGCTACGTCGTATGGCTGGCGGCATCCGGTTTCGGATTTGCCTGTCACTGTGGCCAGCTACAGGACGCCTGCACCTACAGAGAGACCATGGGTGACTTGTGCTGCACCACCCACAGCTCCAACCACACATCCCATATGCACTGTAAACCCGAAGGAATAAGACCGGGAGGCATGTGGATGGGAGCCACGTTTCATCAACGGAGCAGGCCCACACTCCTCCACAAGCAAACACAAGCACGCTGTATTTAGGAATCAAGCGCACACAAGGCGGTGGTTGGACCGTAGTCCGCTCCACACTGAGTGCATGGAACCACTCTCTGAGCCTAACACGTTCACAAGGACCGTGCACCCCGTTCCTTCCAGCAACGACCAACTGTCTCCTGGAGCCAGTATGGATGAGGTAGTGGGTAATAAACAGGTAGGCACCTTGTCAACATGCACATCAAGCGCAGCCACACCGGGGATAGAACAATGGAACAATGGTTTATTACGGGTAAAAAAGCATTGCTTAACAAGTCCCGTAGGATGGAAATTATTGCGAAAATCAATTGCATGATAAAGTGAAAAGCGTCGTGGTCTAATCGCCATAGACTTATGTAAAATAGCGGAGATGTTCGCGTATTAAACGTATAAATCCATCAATCCATTGGTTAGGCGTTTGGCAAGACACCGTTTCATTGCGTTTTGTAGCCTCTGGCTAACAAGTCAAAATGAAATGTAGATGAGACAATGCATCGTCCACGCGTTTTTTAAATATCGGCAAATTGGGAGCAGAGACAACATAATTAGGGAGGGCGTTCCAAGGCTGGCACACGCGGGGAAAAGAAATTTTTACGGCATTAAAGCCGGCTGTACTGAATTGTCAGTATGAGAGCGGGACCTCTTAGTTTAGTGTTGTGGTTCAATTCCAGCAGCGTACGGCAGATGTGGTTTGGATTCTTCAGACTTTGGTAAGCAATTACAGTCAATCACTTGAAACGACGATATCAAATAAAATAAATGGAATAAATCACACAGATGCGATGACATAACTCTTCATTAAATGAGCATATGAAATAACTTGGATACGAACAAATCCGCGATAAATCTAAGACGTCAGCAAATCTATTTTAAGTACTTAGCACAAACGCGAAACTGTTATCGAAGTTTTAACCAAAGTAGTTTAAGAAACGTGTGCAAGTTAATAGTAGATAGTTCAAGCAGACATTAATATGAGATAAAAGCATTAGGACAATCTTGCAAACCCACCAACTGAAATAAAGAGACTCAGTATGCAAACACGCGGTTAATAAATCAGATGCAACGTACCTACAAACGTTGCGCCGGTTCTGCCTACACTTTACGTAAGACTAGTCGTCGTTTCGGTGTTGGCTCCGAGTAACCTCGCTCATGGCTCACCAGACGTGCTTGACTCAGGCACTCGCGACCGCATGTGCTACAGCACCATGCGCTCGATGTCGATGGAGTACCAGCCATCGGTACCTGTCGTTTCCGCAATTGCCGCTTCTTCTCTGCATATACGAGAATTTCCTCTTGCACCTCGGCAACGGCCTTCGTGGTCAGATCTCGCCATGCACGCCGATCAACCGCTTTCGATTCCCATAACCTGTAATCAAGGTTAGAACGTGATAGACTCACTTTGATCGTGTCCTGTTAACGAAGCTTCGGTTTCCCCACATGCCGCTTCCCCAACATCAGTTGACCATACAATGGCTACTTCTGTATCCGCGTCGAATCCATACGCCACACATGACCGAGTCATCCAAGGTGTCTCAGCAAAAGTATGCAGTCCACTGCATACATTCCACTTCGGCGCAACGCTTTCGTGTCCGCAACTCTGTCGCCCCATCCGA